TACTACTACACACTACGACTATTACTACTACTTCTACTACTACTACTACTTCTACTACTACTACTACTACTACTACTACTACTACTACTACTGCTACTGCACACTACTACTACTACTACTACTACTACTACTACTACTACTACTACTACTACTACTACTACTACTACTACTACTAACTACTTACTACTTACTACTTACTACTTACTACTTACTACTACTACTACTACTACTACTACTACTACTACTACTACTACTACTACTACTACGACTACTACGACTAACTACGACTACTACGACTACTACTACTACTACTACTACGACTACTACTACTACTACTACTACTACTACTACTACTACTACTACTACTACTACTACTACGACTACGACTACTACTACTAATAATAATACGACGACGACGACTACAACAACTGTGACTACTACTACTACGACTGCTGCGAGCACCACTGCTACTGCTACACTGTTGCTGCCACCAATACACTAAAATGATCCTCGCGAAGGACCGAAGCTGCGAGGCAAGCGAAAAGAATGAGGGTGTCGTCCAAACTGATGGACTGGCGCGCATATCTTGCCGGGGCGGCACCATGCAAGCACCACTGCAGGGGACTTCGGTAAGCTCTCTCCACGGGGCCACGAAACGCAGAAGGCTGTGCCACACTGGGGGCGGGTGCGGCATGCAGACCCTGGAAGTAGGGCCCTCGGTGGAGGTCCCTGTGGGGCCACGAAACGCGTGAGGGGTGCGCCAAAATGAGGCGGCGGCGCAATGCGGCCATTGGCATTTGGGCCTTAGCTGAAGCTCCCCATGGGGCCACGAAACGTGTGAGGGCTGTGCCGGAATGAGGCGGCCGCGCCATGCGGCCCTCGGCAGTGGGGCATTAGTTGGAGCTCCCGATGGGGCCACAAAACGTATGAGGGTTGTTCCGAAGTGAGGCGACGGCGCCATGCGGCGTTTAGCATGTGGGCATTGGTTGGGGCCCCCCCTAGGGCAACGAAACGTGCGAGAGGTGTGTTGACATGGGCATGCGGAGAGCAGAGGCAGGAGGGAGGGGCTGAGAAGAAGGAGATGGGGCTCGGCGCTATCTCTTCAAAACGGTGGCCCAACACCACAGGATGGCTGGGAACTGAAAGTAAAGCTTGAGGAACCTTACTCATCACTTTATCCCTCCTCCGCCTCCACAAGGTCTTCACATCTCATTATACTCGTGACTCCCGTTTCATCCTCTAACTCTTCCCCCATATCCTGTAAGTGGATTGCACTCGTTCATGATCGCCGCGAAGTCGCCGGCATAGCACTTGGGCACCCCAAGGGGCAACAGCCAGGGGGTAAGACACGTCATCGTGTGCGCCCAGACTGTTGGGATGCTTCGAGCGAGGTGGGCTGTCGGAGCCCTCACTCTTGCGAGCCTCCTTCATCACCGCGATGCAGCATGCAAAACACGTGGGCACCCCAAGGCAGAGCCGCCCAGGGGGGTGTTGCACGTGCCCCTTCGCGGTCAGATTGCGGGGACGCCTCGACGCGACGCTGGTGTTGCCCCCCCCCCCGACTCCTCCACATTCGTAGCCCCATGAGATCACCGCGATGCAGCAGGCATAGCAATTGGGCACCCCAAGGGGGAGCCGCCGGGGGTTGTCACACTTGCCCGTTCGCGGCCAGATCGTGGGGGGCGTCTGAGGCGAAATTTGTGTTTTGGCCCCCCGCCTCCGCTCCGTTCAGAGCCCCACGGTCTAGTGGGCAGCGCCCTTGGGCTGTCCAACGGAGGAGCCGCCAGCGAGCGCACGGTGGCCGCAAGACTCTCTCACCCAGACACTCACAGCGGACAGCGCCAGGTATGAAAGGCACCTAAAGGAGACCTCTGCGTCGAATAGTCATTCACTCCTATTCGTCCGTCCTCCTCTTCCTCCTCCTCCTCCTCTTCCTCCCCCTCCGCATTCTCATCCTCCTCCTCCTCCTCCTACTTCTACTCCTCCTCCCTCGCCGTCCTCCTCCAAACTCCGCATCATCATCATCATCATCATCATCATCATCATCATCATCATCATCATCAGCATCATCATCAGCATCATCATCAGCATCATCATCATCATCATCATCAGCATCATCATCATATCATCATCATCATCATCATCATCATCATCATCATCATCATCATCATCATCATCATCAGCGTTGTCATCGTTATCATCATCATCATCATCATCATCATCATCATCATCATCAGCATCAGCATCAGCATCAGCATCAGCATCAGCATCATCCTCCTCATCCTCATCCTCATCCTCATCCTCATCCTCCTCATCATCATCATCAGCATCATCATCATCGTCGTCATCATCATCAACATAATCAGCATCACCAGCATCTTCATCATCATCAGCAGCAGCATCATCATCATCCTCATCACTACCAGCAGCATCAGCATCATCATCATCATCGACAACAACAGCATCTGCATCATCCTCAGCATCAGCATCACTCATCGTCAGCATCATCATCAGCAGCACAAGCATCCTCATCATCATCATCATCATCATCATCATCATCATCATCATCATCATCATCATCATCAGCATCATCGGAATCATCAGCATCATCACCATCAGCATCATCAGCATCGTCATATCGTCATCAGCAGCCTCATCATCACCATTATCATCAGCAGCATCATCACCAGCATCAGCATCAGCGTCAGCATCATGGTCAGCATCATGATCATCAGCATCATCACCCTCGTCACCAGCCGCCTCATCACCATCATCAGCATCAACATCCTCGTCGTCGTCATCATCATCAGCATCATCATCATCAGTATCATCATCATCATCATCATCATCATCATCATCATCATCATCATCATCATCATCATCATCATCATCATCATCATCATCATCATCATCATTATCAGCATCATCATCACCAGCATCATCAGCATCATCATCACCGTCATCCTAATCATCATCACCATCATCAGCATCATCATCATCGCCGTCGTCCTCTTCCTGCTCCTCCTACTCCTCCTCAGCCGTTATCATCATCACCATCAGCATCATCAGCAGCATCATCAGCATCGTCATCATCATCATCATCATCATCATCATCATCATCATCATCATCACCAGCAGCATCATCAACATCATCATCAGCATCGTCATCGTCATCACCAGCAGAATCAGCATTATCATCATCATCATGAACAGCAACATCATCAGCATCATAAACATTACTCATCATCATCACCAGCATCGTCATCATCAACATCATCAGCAGCATCATCACCATCATCAGCATCACCATCATCAGCATTATCAGCATCGTCATCAGCAGCATCAGCATCGTCATCAGCAGCCTCATCAGCATCACCATCATCATCATCATCATCAGCATCACCATCATCATCATCAGCAGCAGCATCGTCATCATCATCATCATCATCAACAACATCATCATCTTCATCAGCATCACCATCATCATCAGCTTCATCAGCAGCAGCAGCATCAGCATCAGCATCAGCACCATGGTCATCAGCATCATCATCAGCATCATAAACATCCTCGTCATCATCATCATCATCAGCATCATCATCATCACCATCACCATTATCATAATCGTCGTCACCATCATCAGCATCATCATCGTTGTCGTGATCCTCTTCCTGCTCCTCCTCCTCCTGCTCCTCAGCCTTCATCAGCATCATCATCAGCATCATCATCAGCAGCATCATCATCGTCGTCACCATCAGCATTATCACCAACAAAATCATCATCATCATCATCATCATCATCATCATCATCATCATCATCATCATCATCATCATCATCATCATCATATCGTCATCGTCGTCATCACCATCATCCCTCATCATCATCCTCATCATCATCAGCATCATCATCGTCATCATCATCATCAACCTCATCCGAATCCTCATTAGCATCAGCAGCAGCAGCATCATCATCATCAGAATCATCATCATCACCGCCACCACCACCATTGTTACCATGATCATCCTTATCCCCATTCGCTCCCCACAAAACAACCTGGAGGCGGTGGGAAACCCCAACTGGAGCCCACGACCCCGTCTGTGGGCGGACCCTCCTGGCCACCTCGATGCACCGTGGGCCCCAAGGGCCCGCAACGGTGCAGGACGCCCGCACGCCCGCAGGCCTGCCTCCGCCCGCCCACGCCGGCTCAGAGTCGGTCCCCGGGCCCCTCCCGGAGCACTGCCTCGACCTGCGCCCAGCCGTGGCCACGAGAGGACGCCTGGAGGCCCCAAGAGAGGGGCGGGCGCCGTCGTCGTCCTCCTCCGCCTCCTCCTCCTCCTCCTCCTCCTCCTCCTCCTCCTCCTCCTCCTCCTCCTCCTCCTCCTCCTCCTCCTCCTCCTCCTCCTCCCGCGCACGAGCGCGAGCCCACACCGAGGCGGGGGCAGGTTCGGCATGCTGTGCCGCGGGCTCTGCCCCATCGCGCCTGGGGGCGGGCGCTCTCCCGTGCAGAAGGCACTGGTGGACTTAAGTCGGGCGTGTCCCCCTACAGGGGGATCTTCGACGAAAAATAAAAAAAATATTCAAAAGATATTCACAAGATTCCCAAAAATACTGAAAAAATAGTCGCCAGACTATTTTCTACTGTTTTTGAAATATTCCCCCTGTAGAGGGACAGGCCCGACTTCACGCTAGGGCAGGCGCCCCCAGAATCGAATCGACAAGTCGGCTCCGAGATCGAAATGAATCGGATCGGCGGAAATCGGCAACCGAGTCGGGAAAAGTCGAATCGGCGGCAATCGGCAGGTAAGTAGGCCTCCGAAGAATAATCGGAGCCCGAATCGGAATCCGAAGCCGAATCGAATCTGAATCGGAAGCCATCGATCGAATCGAATCGGAGGAGTCGAAATGAGACCTGTTATGGGCTGGTTTCCCCCAAAACGACGAAAGCCCTTCCAAAACCTTCCGATGGATGATGCTGCGAGCGAGACGTAAGAAAAATGCACGCATGTAGTGTGACGTGCGCAGTGGGGATTAGGATGAGGAGCAAGCACGACCAAATGAAAAAAACTCCCGAAATCCTCCGAAAAGCCTCCCGGAACTGGGGTTCGGGAGGGTTTCGGCTGTTTCGAAAGAAAGCCAATACCTAGCGAACCCAGGACTTTCTAACAGCAGACCAGCACAGCTACCGAGCACCATCCCCATGCCTAGCCGCGGCCACCCAGGGCCCTTGCACGGCGAAAGCCAGCTAGGTACACGGATCGAGGGCGGGTGACTTTCAAGATGTGGTGAGACGGCAACGACACCAACGACGTCAACGACATCGACGACGACCAGCGTCGGCGACGGCGGCACGGAGAACGACGACAGCCCCTGGCACGTCGCGGCGTCTGCGCACGCGTCGCCTGGGCTGCTCGTGGCAGACTCCCTGTCCGTGTTCTCCGTCTGCATGGGCACCTGGCTCCTCGCCGCGGCGCTCGCCGTGTTCGTTGTCGTCGCGATCATGCTGGACCTCTTTGGACCGTTTGGGGTTTTGCAGCAAATTGGCGGCGCGCACAAGGGGGTAGGGGGAGGGGGGAAGGCTTCTTGAAAGGAGGCTGCTTCTTAGAAGGCGCCGGCCTTACATCTTTAGACAAGACCCGCACCTTCTAGAAGCAGGGGTGCCTCTAAGAAGGCTTCCCCCCTCCCCCTACCCTCCTCTGCGCGTGGCCTAGAAGCTGGAACACGCGTTGCGATCAGCGGCGACGCGGGACACGAAACGTCGAGCAGCCACCGCAGGGGCGCGGCAGAGCTTTCTGCGCACCGGAAAACATGGAAAAGGAGGAGGGCAAGCTGGAACGCACGCGCGCGGCTGGACTCGCATGCGCACCACGCGGAGGCCACTTGAGGCCGGCGTACACGCCGCGCGGGAGCCAAGCGCCCGCAGTACGTGGGGCCACGCGTGCACTGGGCTCACGCCTGGGCATATCCCGCCGTGCGGAGTCAACACCTTGGAGGCAGGAGCGCGAGGCGGCCGCGGCTGAGGCAGCCGTCTGGGGCCTCCCAAAAAAAAACGACTCGCCAGATCCGATCGCTGATCCTCGTAGTCCTCGCCTTCTCCTCCCTCTTCCTCCTCCCTTGTTCTATCTCCTCTTCCTCCCTTCTCCTCCTCCTCCTCCTCCTCCTCCTCCTCCTCCTCCTCCGCCTCCTCCTCCTCCGCATCATCATCGTCATCATCGTCATCATCGTTATTATAATCATAATCATAATCCTAATCAGCATCAGCAACATCAGCATCAGCAGCATCATCATCATCATCATCATCATCAGCAGCAGCATCATCATCATAATCATCATCACCAGCATCATCACCAGCATCATCATACTCATCATCATCAGCGCAATCATCAGCAGCAGAATCATCATCATCATCATCATCAGCAGCAGCATCAGCATTTTCATCATCATCATTATCATTATCATCATCGTCATCATCATAATCATCATCAGCATCATAATCATCGTCATCGTCATCGTCATCATCAGCATCATCATCAGCAGCAGCATCATCCGAATCATCATCATCATCATCATCATCATCATCATCAGCATCAGCATCATCATCAGCATCAAGATCATCATCATCATCGGCAGCAGCAGCAGCATCAAGATCTGTGGCTGCCGTCCTAGCGCTGCGCAAATTCTTGCCCAGCGCGTGCAACAGCTACACGGATGTAGGGTAGGTGGCTTTAAACACGTGGCTGTCGCCTTAACGGTTTAGCGGCTTAGCGGCTTAGCGCCACGCAAATTCGTCTTCAACGCTTGCAGCAACAATGTGTATGAAGAGCGGGCAACAATAAAAATGAGAACAGCTTCAGGCAGCTACACGGATTGAGGGCGGCCGCTATTTCAAAACAAGGCTCTGGAATTATTACCGCGTAAGCTCGTCTGAAAGGGTCACGACGGCTCCACAGATGCAGGGCGGCTCCATTTCAAAACGGGACTCTCGCTTGAGACTTCCCCCATCTTTGTCACGAAGCTTTGAGGTGTGAAGCAGATACACGGGTGGAGGGCGGTTATTGCTTCGTGTCACACGGGGGTCTCGCTTGAGATGCAAGTCGTCTCCTTTTCAAAGTGAGACGATCGCTTGACACGAGCTTCGACCTTACGATTTTGCGCCTGCAACACATTCCTCGCGAGTGCAAAGATGGAGGACGATTCCTCTTCAACAAGAGGCTCCCGATGAGTGGCAGGCCCCATGGAGCGCACGTCTTCCTAGGGGGCGCTCCCCGTAGCAAAAAGGAATGGTTGCAGGAACTTGTGAGGAGACTTTGGAAGGGAGGGTGAACATCCACATCGTGTACGACAGCCCTGGATAGGCCTCCCGAACGAAGTACTCCCACCCTCCCCCTCAGAAATAGTGGGGTAGGGGTAGGGTTCGCATGCGGCCCCCCACTGGAGGCACTCGTGAGCGAGGTAGAGGACAATCTGCTCCCCCATGCTGCCACCGGTGCGTGATGATGGAAGGCCACAGGAGAGCGACATCACGAACGGTAGCAAGTTGAAGCAGGATTATATCACACGAACGTCTGTACTCCACGATCTTGATGATCCACCGACCCTGTCGGCGTGTGTGAGGGCCATCCGAAGCGAAATTGAGCAACGTCGGAGTGGAATCGAACGGAAACCCCTTCCCTTTGATACCTTCCCCGCGAGGGGGGGTCCGGGGGGGTCCCGGGGGACCAGCGCTCAGACTGAAGATGGGAGTTCGGCTGTCCTGGGCATCTTTCCGCTGCCCCTCTGGGGCGCTTTCACGGCAAACGACAAGGACAACCACAGAGACAGGCGGATGGCTCTCGTTTCGTGAAAAGATCCAGGCTTACAGCTCCTTACTCGGATTACCAACCTCGAGGTCGGTAAGGGCTGTCTCAGCTAGTTCTTTGACCAGCTGGGCCAACGGGATCGGTGCTTTCAAAATTATCGGCGAATTCGTGGCCCCCTTGGGATGTCTACCCTCCGAAGCACGCTGCTTTTGCAGCCTTCTGCCATGGTTCGGGAGCTGACCTGGGCAATCAGGATTACACTAAGCGGGGTATACTCATCAGCATGACCGAATAAGTAGGGCACATGTCCGTGGGGGTTATGCACTAAATCGGCGTGGCTCTGGCAGAATCCTGGGCAGGTCTCTTGGGCTCTGCGCTGCATCGCAGCGTGACTGCCGCATCGTTGTCTACAAGCTGCACACAAGAAATTTCTCCCCCAGGGGTGTCGTTGGTGGTCCTGGGGGGGACCCCAAAACTACCCCCCAGAGGCCTCCGAGAGCGCTCCGAAGAGACCCCAAACAGCATCCCTGAGGACTCTGACCCACGTCAGCGTCGTCGCCGCCGCCGCTGCCGCCGTCGCCGTCGCCGTCGTCATCATTGTCCCCCTTCAGGGTCGGCGGCACCGGCCGTACGGCCTTCGCAATAGTCAAAAATAGTCGAAAATCGTCCCCGAACTATTTTTCATTATTTTGGAATGCTCCTCCTGTGGAGGGACACGCCCGACTTAAACTGTGCACTGCATCTCTCCGCTCCGCCTCCGGTGCCCTCGCCGACGATGCTCGTTCAATGCTGCACCGCCAGCAGTCCAGCAGTCTGCGAAGGATCCGTTCTCTGGCGCCCTCGCCTCCGTAGAGCATGTCAAGAAGGAGCACCTCGAGCACAAGAACAGGATGGCCAAGGAGCGGAAGGACTCTCTGGAGGAGAGGGGGCCAGAGCTGCCTCGGCTCCGACGGTGCTCGAGAAGCAGGAGAATGCGGGTGTCGAAGCCGTTCCTCCCTGTAGCGAGCTGGATGATGAGCCCGATGCCGAAGCAGATGCCAACGGCGAACGCCCAAAGGCAGGGAGGTCCAGCCTCCGCTGCTGGAGGGGCCTGCTGCAGAGACGGGCGCTCACGAGCCAGGCAGTCGGTCGAGGCTGGCGTTGCAGCAGCTGCCGAGGCCAAGCGGTCCAATTCTGAGCCCCCGCCAGGGTGAGAGCCTTGGCACCAAGGGGGCCAATCACAACAGGTTCGGTAGAGTATATGAGGATCCCCACAGGTGTCACCAAGTCCAGGTCTCCAGATTTAGGCTCGGATGTTCCCTCAGGACCCACAGTTTGGAGTTGTTCCATAATCTCCCCCCTCTTTGGGCACAGGGCGAGAGGCCTAGGCGAACAGGGGGCGGTCGAGAAACCAGGCGGGTTAGTGGACCTCAGGAGGTCTTGTCTTCTTCCACTGGACGGAATGCCGAGGGAGGGGGTTCGGATCTAGGCCTAGTGTGTAACGGGCTTACCAAGACCCCTCCATCTCCTCCTCTCGACAATTTCTCCCTGACCATCGAAACCTGTAATTGTACCGGTTGGCGTTCGATCGAATACTGGCTGAAGCTCACTTCGGCCCACAGTATCAGTTCGGGAGCATCACTTGCGTGGAGACAGAGTTGCTGAAGCCGGCAGCTGGCTACTCAGACACCAGTGGAAGGGGATCTTCTTGCCGAAGCACTCTCGGGCTTGGAGGTGGCACACAAGGAGGTGTGGCTGTGCCGGCGCGCTCGTGGCTTGTTGGCTTGCACCATGCGCTTGGCTCCGGAGGCGGAGTCCTAGTGCCTGGCAGAGCATTGCTGGCCACGATCCATCTTCCGAGCTCCACCCCGCTGGCCATCGCCGCCCTCTACTTGCACACTGACGAAGGGCTGCCGAACAGAAACCTTGACATCCTCGGTAGAGTGGGGGCGTTGACCTAAGGAAGGATAAATAAGGAACGAAGCCCCTTCTTTCATCCCAAGGAATAACGCATAAGGAACGATAAAAAAACAATTAACGCATAAGGAACTGTAAATAACGCATGCAAACCTAAGGAACGACCGAGCCCCTTCTCAAAAATAAATGTTCCTTATTCAAGCCGCTCACTGTAGAGTGGGGGTGCTGCGGTCATCCTGGCGCACGAAGCGATTGTGGGTGCCGATGTCAACAGTCCCCCTGATGTTATCTCTTGGGGAGTGAGTTCCGCGAGGAGCTTGTGGAGTTGGTCCGTCCTGACTGTGAGGCTATTTGCTACACAGGTCAAGGAGGCATGTCGCTCATCGATTATGTTGCTGTCTCGCCAGGTGTGTGCAAAGCTATTCAGTCTGTTGAGAGGGTCACCTCCACGGTGATTAAGACCCGCACCCCCGTGCAGATCAAGCTTTCTCGGTGGGGGCTGGTGCTCGAATTTGGTAACCACGTGCTGGACGCGGCTCGAAAAGGCATGGTTAACCAAGCGTGCAGGGGGCTGGATGTATTGTACAAGAAGCTCGCGAAGAAGGCCGAACTCGAGCTGTCTAGGGCCGGTCGGGTTGGCTTGCACTTCTATGGAAGCAGAGGGAAGCCACCCGAGCTCCAATGGGCCCCCATCTGGATCCCGTCAAGTACCCGACTGTGGTTGCTGTGACATGGTTGGCCAACCGTGTGCGGCAAATGTTTGGTT